ACATCATCGGCAGCATTCGACTCGAAGTAGCTCTGTGTAAGAATGTTAAAAAATGATGAAAATTATTATTTTAGTTGTTAGGCGTATTTCTTTAGATCTATTCCTCTAGAAACGTGAAATCCTCCGGTGAAGTAAGTGAAACGAGTGACAACAACGTTAAATGATATGGTCATTTTATCGATCGCACAACTTCCTATTGAATGATAACACATTGTTTTCTTTCTCTCTTGCAGTCTTCAATCGTTAACATTTTACATTGAACTAACGCCCGATGATAAATCAAATATTATCAGTGCCCGATCGACGTGAGAAAAATTCCTTGACCGCGGAATTAAATAAGAGTTGATCGCAATCACCCCCACAGCCAAGATCTATTAGTGCTCAAGAGTAATAATGCGACGGTGATAACTTCGTGCGAGGAACTCATTCAATTCCGAGAATGACTGACTCTATTTTATTTTAAAGCTGACAATAGATCGAAACCAGAATCGAATGAATTAAATGCTAGCAGTGTAGAAAGAAAGAAAATCATTTTTAGGTGATAGGTGTCTAAGAAAAATGGGTAGATTAGTATTGTATATAAATATTTTTGTCTGCTTGCGACTTTCAGAACGTAAACTTTCATTCAAAATATTTATTTCACAGTTTTATAGAAAGCTATAAAAGAACTGACATGACAAAGTCAAATTTAAAAACTGTTCAACAAGTGTAAGTAAATTAAGTATTTAGGAAATATTTCGGTTGAAGTCTACTAAATTCACACGCTACAAGTAGATTATGATACAGAAAGGTTGGAGAGAAACCTAATAATATATATATACCATTATTTATTTAAAGATGAGTGTACTATAGAAAATACTTTTCCGCCTGAGTACTAAACTTGATGTTGCCAATAAACACGTGCACAAAAAAAACGAAAATGTAGATGGTGTCCCTAAAGGTAAGAAAGAAAGAGAAGAGCAGCAGCATGAAATTTGTAATGATTAGTTTTTACATACGAGCAAAATTTCTAAGCGAAAATCGATAATATGATAATGATAAGAAAGATAATATGATGAGTTATGAAACAAAACAATTTTTGCAACAAACAAATTTTGCGTTCTCAATGTAGAGACGTATGATCTCCACTAAGAAACAATTTTGTTCTACACTCAAGGAATCGTACCCCTTTAAAATCTGTTCTATACCGGAGTAAGTATTTGTGCCTGTAACTAACTAATGGGAAGAAAGTTGGCTAGCATTTGCAATGTTTCTTTAGTAAAGCGTATACAATGTAAGAAGTAAAGCTCCGCTGTTTCGAGAGTGTTACAATTCTGAGATAAAGGACAAAATGTCGTTTGTATTGGTTCACAAAAAGAAAACTGAATCCTTAACGCATCTTTGTCATGTGAGTAATATAACGTCCATATCCGGCAGGGAACCATTTCGAGGCCTAATATACAGCATCTAAGTGCTATAAAACAGCAAATCTGTCTTTAGCTTCTTAAATTCAGCTTTCGAAATTAAAAAAAAGGAATTCGTTCATTCAAGGTTCGGAGCGTTGTTAGTTGTTATTCTTTGTTTACTCGAATGTTAGTTAACTCATTATTATATCGTATTCATCCGTAGAGCTGCTCGGAAAATGTTTTCTAAAAACAATGAAGTAAGTCTACGACAAGAGCTAGAGATATTTGTGAATCAGTATAACCATCATAATATTTTAAAACATCATGTAACATTTTCGTCGTCAGAAGTAAAACAGTTTTTCTCTCGGTTGCTAGTACCGGTTATGACTATGTGAAGCCTCACTGCTGATCAGAGCGACTTTGTCCAACTAATTATGACTGCATCAGTAATTCCGGATAACGAAAACGGAGTACATTGAATCAAGATGGTCGTAAAGAAACGTGTTTTACAGAAGTTATAGTTTAAGACTCACGAGGAAAGATCCCCAAGTGTGCAATCGCTTTTTGCTCGAACTCTAGTGGACAATAGGTAATAGACTGTGCTAAATCCGAATCTGACATCGGTTTGTGCTGCTAGGCCTCCAGAGACAGGGTTTTTGAAAAACCAGGTTTTCAGAAACTCTAAAAAATAACCAAAACTTTTCTTAACGAAGCATGATTGTAAACCGCAAAATTTCTGATTAAAATGAGACATCTCCCAGCTCTACACGACCTTTCTTTGCAAAGTTATAGAATTTACGCGAAAAGCCCTAAATTCATCTTTTCTTCTTCTTTCTGTAGCTCTAAGCGGACAATGAACATTTAGGGCTTGTCTTGTAAATTAAATAACTTTGCAAAGAAAGGTCATGTAAAGCTGGGAGATGAGATGTCTCATTTTAATCAGAGATTTGCGGGCTACAATCATCCCGCATTAAGAAAGGTTTGAGCTATATTTTAGGGTTTCTGACAAACTGGTTTTCCAGAAACTCTGTCTCTGTACGTACTTTACCATATCCCATGAGGGCTTTTCGGATAGAAATATTGTCTTCTCCGCCATAAAAAACTTATCGTATCCGTTGTCACACTGCGATATGTCGAGGTAAACATTACAAGGCGATATATATATATATTAACACGAAAGACAAGACGAACGAAAGAGAAAAAACGAAAAATAAGCATATCGTTGTTGCTGTGTGTATTACAAAAGAATGTGAGAAACGGTTTCTCGGTTTGCTTTATTACATTGTCGTTTCTCACATTCTTTTGTAATACACACAGCAACAACGATATGCTTATTTTTCGTTTTTTCTCTTTCGTTCGTCTTGTTACATTTTAATATATCAGTAGCGCTAGACACCACGAGACCATGTTTTATCAGGATATATTGAAATAATACTGCAACGGATATCATCTAGATAGAACAATTATCCGATCCATTGTCACACCCCAATATGTCGCAATAAAAATTATAGTCCAATACGTGCCGATCAATGAGTAATCTCGATGTATCGTAATAGATGGGTATCAAGGCATATCTGGATAGTACTCGGTGTTGGAAAGTCTAGCGATAAAAAATCTATCACATCCGTTGTCACACTGGGATGTATCGGTAAGGCATGGATATGCTGGGATATATCTATCTAAAACAAGCATCGATGCATATCGCTCTGTAATGTTTATCCCGACACATCGCAGTGTGACAACGGATACGATAAGTTTTTTATCGCGGAGAAGACGCTTTTTTCTATCGGAAAAGTCCTCATGGGTTATAGTATTAAACAAACTAATAGCTCTTTCGAACCTACATTCGTTTCAGGTTTTTTTTAATGAGTTTTATGATTTCTTCATGTCTTTGCTTATTATACAGCAAATAAAAACCATACCAGCAAGAAATATAATTTTCACCCATTGTGAACACACAGAACGACTGGAAAGAATCTCAATGACATAAAGTATAATTGATTAAATCACCTTTTGAGTGTCAGTATTAGACATGAGTACAATTAATCTTTAGATTCCGATGGTAACGTGATCGAGACTGAAACCATTTCGTCGACGTCCAGTTGCGTCATTTACCTACATGTTTTCTCAGCTTGTTTTGGTATTTCACATGAATAACGTGCCTGAAAGACTTGCTGAACAATTTTCCGTTAGTTTTAACTCAGGATTTTGTAAGAATTTCAATGATTCTTAATTGAAAAAAGTTTCTGATTGCACATCGCGGGATTTCACTTTCTCTGAAGACGTTGTCAGGTTTCTTGAAACGATATTTGCAGAATTCAAAAGAGAACAGAAGAAAAATAAACACATAGAATAACGGTCTGTAGACCTTCAGTTCATAAACCGATTAGCTTACCCCGTTGAACTGTACCATGTTATTTAATATGACTTCAACCTTCGGTACCGAAAATTTCGTCTGAAATATTAACTTCTACTTGAATTTTATATGAATGTAAATTATTTCAAGAAAAATTCGAAAAATACAGTATTTAATTTCAATATTGATTTCGATTGACAAACTTCCACTATTTCGTGTTGATTTCACTACAGTCTAGAAAAATTATCTCTGATTTTTTTCAGGGATAAATTGAATTAAGAACAGTTTTTTATCGTGAGACTTATCTCTTATTGAAAATGTTTCTTTTTGGATTGATAGATTCGTGCAGTACCTAAATTGATATTAACACCTTAGTTCAATAGTTTTTCAATTTTTATCTGAGAATGAAATCCGAAAGATAACAAATTCTGTCCCCTAAACTTTAGATCACATTCAATATAAATATTGAAAAGGTTAGAGAAAAAATTTTCTAGACTTTTTCCAGAGTTTGTCTATTTATTTTTACGAAGACTCAGGTAGATATTGATAAAAACTGATAAAATCTTGACACAATCCTTTCTGTTATTGCTGTCAAGATCCTGAACAAGATCGAAGATCCTGTATTCTTAGTTGATAAAACAATCTAAGCAGGAACTTGAAGATATCCTGAAAAGGATCCGATTTGACCATGAGATATCCTGCAAACAGGAATTACTAGGTTTTGAAACAAAATCTTAATAGAACTTGGCAGGATCCTGAAAGATCCTTACAGGCTTTCTTAATGAATGAACAGTATTGAGACTACGGTTACAGCTTCGAAATTAAGATAGCTCTACGGTTATATATAGATACGTTGAGAAGAAATAGTGTTAGGTCACGCGACTTAAGATGAACCGAGATTAAGCAACGTCATTGAAACTACTGCGTTGTGATACATAAAGAAATCACGAAAAGTATTTCTCATATAGTCACTATCTCCTCATGCCTTCCTGCGACACCATTGTATATATTACATCATGTTTTTCTATTATGTTCTTTCTTTCTTTCTTTCTCGCCTATATATACATAGGTTACACTGTACGAGGGGAGTGTCTTTACTTTTTCAATAAAACATTTGTACATGCAAGTGAAGATTAAAACAAGTTACATGGAACCTAACAAATGGTGCACTAGCCGGCTTATTGTCAATACATCACAGTAAGTACAAGTCATCCAAATAATCCAATCATCAGTTTCGACGCTGATCCTCGTACGATTATATGTTAACACGACAAGGTGTTTTAAAACTAAATCAGGAGGAGTTTGTCCGATTAACCAATATTGAATTCGAGCACACTGATCATCTAGCACAAGATCTAAACCACAGCGTTCATCGACCAGTATGTCAATTACCATCCTGCATAATGGCGAAAAAGACCGTTACAACAATCATCTCCAAAGCAGTAGAACAAATCCCGAAATTTTGCGGTACAACTGATGACAATGCCATCGAATGGTTGAAACATTTAACTACAGCCTTACATATGGCTGAAATATCCGACTCTCAAGCATCAAAAATAATTATAACGTTTTTGGATGCTGCTGCAAAGGACTGGTTTATTGCCAATAAGGAGACCTTTACTTCATGGTCATTATTCGTAAAAGAATTTCAAAATACATACTCATCACCAGCAGCTCAGCAATTCGCATCACAATGTCTTCCCAATCGTCAGCAGCGTTCCCCGGAATCAGTCATTGGATATTACACCGACATACTCAAATTATGTACAATCGTTGATCCCAACATGGCCGATGCATCGAAATGCGATCATTTATTCCATGGGTTAAAATCGTCACTCATGAAAGAAGTGTTTCGCCGTGCACCCACAACACCCGAAGAATTTTTAAAAGTGGCTAAACAGGAAGAAGTACTGGAACAATTGGTAAATGTATCACTAAGCAGAGACATCCGCATCGGTGAGAATCTTAACGATACATCTGCTACTTATTACTAATCTGAAGTACACAAGTTGTACTATATACTATCTGTTTTTTACAAAGATCCCTTTTAGTTTTTAAGATATAGTGCTATTAATATCACAGATTATAAAGGTAGTAAAACTATGCTTCAGTCACTTTTCAATTTCAGTCGTTTCACTGGAAAAAAACAAAGCTCAACTTCAGCTTCTCTGAGTACGATGTTGAGAAAGGTGATCAAGAAAGTTCTGTTAGTCACACCAAATTCGTGACGCTTTTAAAATTAAAGTATCCATACATTTTACTACTTTTTATCGGTGATATCTTTAAAACTGAAAGGGACTCTTTTCCTAAAAAATACATCAATATATAGTACAACTTGGGTGCTTCAGATTAGTATAAAAAGGGGAAAAAGATTTTCTCTAATTACTTTGGTTTTAATTCGCGAAGTGAGCGGAATATAGAATAAAATCATAGCCAGCACTACTTCTGAACATAGAATAACGAACGTGTCAATAAAAAATTCCGCCTTTCCTCATTTTGTTCTTTAAAGAATAGAAATAATGTATAAATAACGAATACGTATCATTTATTCTGATATGTTCTCTGAAAATTCTTTTGAATTTTTCATGCGTATCTACTTTTTCAAACTCAGCTGTCATACTGACCGTTCTATATCTCAGAAACCAAGCAGTACCTTTTTCTAAGAAATAGCTTGGCATAGAGTAAGTTGAAAAAGAACTTACAACTTATCTTAAAAAGTGGAAAAGGGTACTTTCAAATTTGTTAACTTTTTAATGTGGGAAGTTGCAAGAATATACACAAATTTTATAACGAGTGCGATTTTCATAGTTACTAAACTTGTATTTTGTGTCAATGTTTGAAGAAAATAGCTATAGAAGATATAGCTGTATATTCTCTTTCTCTCTCAAAAAGAGCTAATTTCGACGTAAAAACGGTTTTTCGGCTCTTTTTCAAAAACTAAATGTTTCACCAGAAAACAAACACCGGATTCGGAATCTACATGTAAAAAGGAATCAGAATATGTATGCTGTTTTCCCCCAAACCGCCCCCAAGAAAATTAGTCTGATTTGCTATGCTGTTTAACGATCACAATGCTCGGGAGAAAGTAAAGAACTTTTTTCAACTGTTTTGCATGTTAAATTTTGCTTCAAATCAATATAACAACATAGAGACATGAAGCAAAATAATATTTGATGTTTAAAACAGAACTTTTTAACTATGAATGAACACTAAAAATTTGTTTTAACGACAAAAATGCTTATGCATGCGTGTCTAGACGATTTTTCTTTGCAAAAACAAATCAGCCATTCAAATTTATTTTATATTGTTCATTGAATAATTACATGACCTGGCAAATAAATATACACAATGATCGTTCGCACATATGTCAAGGTCAATATATATATATATTGAAAAAAATACAATGCAAACACAAATTAATCGAATATGTGTATTCAAACGATGGTACACAGTTTCTATCTAATGTAAGACAAGTATTACTTATTGTCGGTACGAACGGCCTATCAGATAAATATCCGATGACATGATTAGATCGATAACAATGATGTATAATAATATCCGATATCGTTTTCTTCAAATACAGAAAGTTTTTATGCATAAAGTCTTTCCGCGAAAAAAAAACACCAAATTATTCCCCTCGCCCTATGCCGTTAACGCATAAATTGACCGTTATAACGAACAATACCGATTATTGTCGTAAAAACCGATATGTTGGAAAACGATTTATTCGATAAACTACATCTTACCGATCCAGCAGGTAAAAACAAATTACTGTCAACAATCAAAACTGTTTTTGCACCCTCTTCTCAAACTTGTAATCTTCCTTCTGCTTCTGGCTTTAACCCTCTCTCTTCAAACATGTTAGCTAGGATCAGGACCAACCAGATCGTTATGTTAAAAATAAACCTCTCCCACCACCGTGCATTAATGCTCAGAGTGCTACTCCTCAAAGTTCAGACGAGGAGAATCCTGATACTCTACGAGACCCAAACGGGAGAGATTTTATGAACAAAGATATTCTCACACTGATCATGCAGAAAAAACAAGTTTTAGCCGCACTCCCGGCATTACTCACCCAAAAAGCAGACGAGCAGGAAAATAGAGAGAATGCCGATTACGATCATCAACGGTTTTTTCATTTCTTTTGCTTTGCATATTACGAGAAATACTATTCCATTATCTTGCAGTAGAGACAGCACTAATCTCTACGCTCTTCCGAAACAACTTAAGCAAATGCTTGATGGTGAAACACCGACTAAAGAAGCGTTGCTGAAATTACGATAACGTTTCAAATATTTATACAGCCAGGCCGTAACCTATAACATGGAGGCCAACACCCATATTAACCAAATTGTTAATAATCTTTATATTGAACACAGTGAACAAAAATGCATGGCTCTAGAAGTAAAAAAATGGCAAAACGAGACAACAATAGCGATGATTACACCCCAGTTAAGACGCATTAGACATCATACAGCTACCCAAAAAATAGAACAGCTATCCATTACTCTTAAAAACAGCGTTGAAAATAATAGCGAACACGAAAAAGCATGTGATATTTTCCTCAAACTAAACGAGACAAAACGTAGTCTGTTTTCTCAACTTAAAACTCTTGAAACCAGGGCCACCCTCACAGCTCCCCCACCGTCCCCAAAAGCATTTGACATCATACTGCGCATCCCTCTTCAGAATAATGACAACGAAGTAGCTCGAATCCGACACGATTGGGACTTCGCTATTGTCACAGCAAAAGGTGCGTTAGTTAAATGTATGATGGATCTTAAAAAACTAGAAATAGCCAAAATTGACCAAGAAATCGAACGATTCATTAAATTTATCCCTGCTAATTGTGAAAAAACAATTGAGGAACTGATGTAATGGAAATTCGAAATAGAGAAAGTCCGCTGCGACTCGAAAATTCATTTTTTAGAACAAAAATTCGAGAAAACCAGCAACGACTAACAAAAAAAGGCCCACACACTTTCTTTTATCCCCATTTCTCTCGCCTCACTTTCCCACCACAAGTAAAAAAACTATGTTATCCCCCTTTCTTCAATGCAGAAAACACTATTAAATAGAGGTCCCAAATATGTGTTAGCGAATTCACCGATAGTAATGAAACGTCTTCCGTCGGAAATTGAGCATATGAAAGAAAAAATACTAAAAAAATATTATGACCAGCCTTAGCGCCAACCCTCTTGTATTCCAAAAATACAACAATTTGCTGATCATGTCAAAATCGAAATAGAGCATCGGTTAGGACAGACCGGATATCATAACCAAGATCACGTTCAGCACGCGATTCATCAATTAATGGAACAACAGAAGGAGAAAAATATTGTTTTTCGACAGACAGATAAATCAAAAATCCTTCATCTGGATCTACCAGAAAAATATGCACGGAAATCGGCGAACTACATGGCAAAAACTGATGCATACGAGGAGTTTTTGAAAATCCCCTACGTCTAATGATCGATAATACCAGTAAATTACTTTTGAAACTCCTACAACTCAAAAAAATTAGTTTGAAGACCTATGAAAAATTACGACCTAGAAATGAATGCGAGCCCACTTATATTATAATCCAAAAGACCATAAACCTGGTGAGCCTCTGAGACCAATCGTTATGAAGTCCCCAACCGCTCCTATTTCCGCATATCTTGACCGCATACTTCGGCCAGTCTTTGAGCGTTTTACACACCAACATACCCTCCAAAATACTCTTTCCTTTCTATCTCATTTAGAATCACACCCCATAACAGATGATACTCTGTTAGCAACGTTCGACATCACAGATTTATATACTATGATCCCTCCGAAAGGCGTCATATCAGCTCTTTGCCGCATGCTCGTCACTACTAAAAACCACAAAATCAACAATGTTTCATTAACAAATTTGCGCAACTGACAAGACTAGTTCTGGAAAACTCCTTTTTTTGTCTATGAAAACCGTTTTTACCGACAGACGAAAGAAGGAGCCATGGGTAGTGCGGTAACACAAGTGTCAGCAGATGTATACATGTATGAATGGGAGAAAGAACTTCTTGCATTGCAGAAAAGCGAAGGACAATTGTACCTTCGTTTCCGAGATGACATCTTTCTCACCTTCACTTTACCCTATCAGAAACTGGAAGAGAGACTCAGAAACTTTAATGAGAAAGACGAAAATATTAAACTAACACACGAGATAGGCAAAAGAGCTAATTATCTTGATGTGACCATCTTTGCACAAGTACCCTGCTGCAGGACCATCGTATATAGAAAACCGGCAGCACAACCCTATTATTACCATTTAGTAGTTCCCATCCTAGGCACATCAAACGAAATATACCGTACTCTGCATACATAAGAGCAATTCGCATACGTTCTAACGCATCAAACAGAGTACAAGAATTTTCAAACATTAGATATCGCCTTCTACTAAACCAATATCCCTCAAAATTCATTGACGCACAAGTTAAACGCTTACTGCGAGATTTAAAACTATCCACCTTCGACCAGCTCTTTCAGAACTACGGAAAAGTTCGAAAACAACTCTTTCGTACCGATTGGAAACAGCAAGAGAGTAATCTACACCGATCGACACGGATAAATTGGGAAACAGATCTGTTGTTCCATTTTTCCTACATACCAGCATTAGAGTGCTTCGGCGCTCGATTGCGTAGTATATGGAACACTGTTTTTCGAGAGACACCACTGGCATTTATCAACCCTATTGTAAGATACCGTTTGACTCCAAATCTCACGCAAATCCCTGTTCGTAAAAAGCCTTCATGCAAAATTTTATAATCAAAATAATCAAACTATTTTCCCATCATGTATAACTGATAGAATGAGAATTTGCACCCATCAAATGACCTCAGAATATTCTCAAAATTATCTTTGAATAGAATGTTATCAGTGGAAATAGTCCTGTCATTCCATTGCTTTTCCCTCACATGATGAATATGCGAGCTATCTTTTATCGTCTCCTCTATTTCTCAAAACAGAAGTGCAAATTTTTCTCACATCCTTTTTCTCACATCTTCATTTTCGCAAATCAATTTTGAGCCTCAGAAGCAATGCTTTTTGGTACCGAATATAAAAACATCAATTCAGGTGTAATCAACATTGATCTGCATAACGTCATTGAAAAGCACAATGAACTCGTCCATCTCAACTGGCGCGATATTCTGATTATGATCATCGCGTTAATTATCGCTGCTGCTATTGGATACTTCATAGTCCAATTTATTAAAAGGCATGTAAGAACATATCGGACAATGGCAATCATGACTGGAGTTGATAAAAGACGGGCAACAGCAGATGCCACTTCCGCCGGTCAAGCACCCTATATCATCCCAATGGAGGACTACAATCAGCGGCCCCGGGTAGCAACGTCTCCTCACACACATATACAAAAACTGAATACCGCTTCAAAGCCGTATGAAGTAGCCTCAAGACAACTACAAGCAATGGGAATAGACTAAGAAGACAATTACTTCTGTCTCTTATAGAACTTTAGCTCAGATGTTTTTTCCTCACTTTTTCTTACTCGCCAATCGCGATAACAAATACTCCGGACTCACTCTCACACCGCCTCGGCCCCGCCCTCCTGTCTCGAATGCATGAAAGTTTCTGATACAATTCCTTTTATTCAATCTTTTTAACTTTTTTTTAATGGTTTTGCTTATGCATAATCATCATCCAGTCCTTGCCATCCATAATAAAAAGCTATCATTCAATTTCCTTTCCTATATCTCAACAATGTTTCCACGTACAAGAGATAAACATACATATACAAGAGGCGATTCATTTCTCTCTTTCTTTCCCATCCTATGATAATTTCATTTCTTTCTGTTGCTCGCATCCCACTGCCGAATCATCAAAATATCCCATATTCTTTTTATTACCACTCATATACTGCATGCACAAACAGTTATGCATCTTCCTAGAGCATTCTTCTCTTATCTATTCACTCTATTCACTTTATTAACCGATGTGAATCGCATTCCCGCTCATTTTCTTTCTCTGGCCAACAGATGAAGTATTGAAAACGTTTTTGTACAGAGAAAAACCCAGCCATCCTGCCATCTTTTTTAAGTCTTTTTTTCTTTTTTGTTAACTTTTTAATTTTTATTATTTTGATGGAAAAATAAAATAAATTATTTTAATCCGATTATCATTCTGGCATAGCCAAAACAGAATTTCAGTCAATACATTATAATCAATTACGACAATTGCTCAGTGGTAGTAGTAACGCTCATATAAATCGTATGACTACTTTGATAGATACTGTTGTATTTCGTGATTCGCCTGCTTGTTCGATGTTACTCAATCATTGGAGGAAAACTTTCATTGATATCGAACTATTAAACACATGGTTACCATCGATCAAGCAGCTTGTTATATTGAACGCAGATTATTATCAATATCAACTTGTTCAACCATTATTAAAACCTTTGGTTTCTGTTACCAATACATTACAACATTTGCATCTGGTATTTGAAAGACCTACGTATTGGTATCCTTCAATACTTTCTGAACTCATTCATTATCATATATCGGTTCATACTATGATATTAGAAGTTGAAAAAGGTATGTGATTATAGGTACGTGTTCATTATTAACATGTTATGTTTTATTTCTAAAATCTACGATATTTCAGTTCGACAGAATTGAATCAAGAGTTTTTGCTCCTTTATAATTTTAAATCTAATGTATCGTAATTTTGATTCTAAATGACAAAATTCATTGTAACTCTGTCTTCTACTATAGTCTCTATAGGGACTATTTTATAAAAATTTCATTTTCTTCAATCATGAAAGCTTTAAAAACAGTTTATATCAACTTAAGGCCTATCTATGGTAGACTTTAAATCAACAGTTTATATTTAATCTTTATTATAAAAATAACTTTGATTTTTGTTAAATATATGATGTTATGATAGACACTACAATTCATAAGAAAGGTTTAGTTCAAACGTTTTCTGTGTATACTAGAGGTCTCAAGATTGATGTTATCGAGTCAATTATATCCTTCGAAATTGTCAGATTTAGCCATGTGTACTACATACGTTTTTGAACTGATCGTTTAGATTCATATCAGATGAAAATATCAATTGAAGTATAGGATATTTCCGAAGTCTCCAAGGAAAGTTAGTGGAAATATCTCTTATACAATTCAAGTAATTTCATTTCGGGGGTATTTTCCATTTTCATACTCTGTTTTCGTTTATTTCGTTTCACCGTTCTTTCTATCCATTTCCTTCACTATTTAATATAAACACTGAGAATGACATCGAGAAGAATGAAAAAAATCGAAGAAAGAGAAAAGTGCTAATGTAAAATTTTATCTTAGTCGACGATGGAAAATCACTCTCTTCAACAATGTTTATTCATTTCATTTTAGATTATCATAGTCTACCATAGACACCAACTTCAATTTCTGGATCGACTTCAAAAAATCATCAGAAAAAGACTATGCTGGTAAGCTCTGGTTGTTTTAAGTAATAAAATAATTTATTTCATTTTGATATGAACCGTCATCCCAAAGGTGAAAATGAAAAAAAATTTCGAGGTGAAATAACTAGCTATACATCTGCGACTGCTATTGGTGAAAAGAAAAGTATAAAAAGTTAAATATTCACTATTTTTTATTCATCATTTTATTCTTCAGATATTAATTGTGAATTACCACAATGTTATAGTCCAAAATATATCGAAGCAGCCTGGTATCCTTGGTGGGAAAACCAAGGTCCAGAATATTATGATGAACATCCTCCATCAAATGCTTCAATACCACGAAAAAATTTTATTATGGTTATTCGACCACCAAATGTAACTGGTTATCTTCATTTAGGTCATGTTATAATGTGTACACTTGAAGATACAATTTCTCGATGGCATCGTATGTGTGGTGATACAGTTCTTTGGGTACCTGATTGTGATCATGCGGGTATAGCAACACAAGTTGTTGTTGAAAAAGAATTAATGCGAGAAAAAAATTATCAAGACATGATTTGGGAAGAGAAAAACTTTTAGAAGAAGTTCGAAAACGGAAAAATAATAAAGGTTTTATTAGAAAATTAATTTATTAAAAAAAACTTTTTTTTCTACAAATAGTTGATTATATTTATAAACAAATGAAAGTATTAGGTTCATCATGTGATTGGTTACGATAAGACTTTAAAATGGATGAAAAGATATCAGATGCTGTTAAAGAAGCATTCATTCGTATGCATGAAAAAAAATTTATTTATCGTTCAACACAATTAGTTAATTAGTCGTGTACACTCAAATCAGCTATTTCGGATATTGAAGTAAGGAAATAACGGATGAGTCAGAAGATAATCTTTTTCGCAGCGTCGAAATTTTGTCCACTTTAAAAATAAAAAAGTGCAACTATAAAGTAAGTGGTCTAATGTCAATTCACGCTACATCTTGTGTAGGGATCGTTATCCTCTGAGGTACTCGTTATCGATATTTGCTAATCATTTCGTCGTACGAAAGCATACATTGAAAAGACAACAACTATGTCTGTGGTCTGGTGTTTGGAAAAGAAATGCACTATGAAATACGCATCACTTTAATTGGATAAATTTTTGATAGAAAATCTGTTTTGTACTCCTCTTTTATCATCCGAAACTTTTTTCGAGTTTAACGAGTTCAAGTTAGCTTTTTGTGGTACATGATCGATCCGTGACCAACCTCCACTGCCCGGAATGATAGCTCGTCGATAGGTTCAAGTCCGGGGAGCGATACGTCAACACACGTCTTAAATCGAACCCGGCGCCCCTCTCACACTCAGATTTCGGACTACGGTGGAGACATCCGATTCGTCGTGGATTCAAAAGCTAATTCGATACTCCTCGAATTAAAAATCTAGTCAGAAAGAAGGAAAAACATTCCTTCGCACGTTTTCGAAACAATTTTAACAGGCAGGTTCGAAACTTCGTTTCAACCTATTTCTTTTTCTTAGTCTCATACTGTGTGCATAATATTTAGAGCATATACACATACAAGATCATCAAGGGACTTCGTTATGTAAAAATCATACGATTTTCTTTGATATTCAGTTTCGTTAGTACAAGCACGTGGGAGAACGAGAGAAAAAAATGTTTTTTCTCTCTCACATATACATTTCGTTCGACAATTCTTTGTATATGTCTCGTTATTCTTAGACTGTACAAATATATAAGAAATTTATAGAGAGCATAGCTAGAGAGAGCGAGTCACTCACAAACAAATAAAGGATGAAAATGAGATCAAACAATCTTCTCTTTTAGATCTGTTCTAGATATAAATCATGGGAAATATACAAAACACTCAACGCAATAAAGAAGAACGTATTCTTGAACAGCCTCAGCAAGGTGAAGCTAGTGAATTCTACTGGGCTTGTCGTGACGGTGATGTTGGACGTGTCACGCAACTTCTTAATTCCATCCCCTACGACAGTTTCAATCGTCTTGAACTAAATGGTAGTACACCACTACATGCTGCTTCTTACTATGGCCACTCGGAAGTTGTTCGTCTTCTCCTTCATCAGCGTGGCTGCCGTCGTGAACATCTCAATCGACATGGCCTCACAGCTTATCAGGAAGCTCAAAATGACGAAATACGCCAGTTATTTCATCGCCCGGTAATAAAAATCGATTTTCTGATGGAAATGAACAGAGCGCAGGTAATATTCTTCGAGTAGACACCGGAGAAGGTGAAGATGAATTTAAAGAAGACAAATGGTTGACAGGCATCTCAGAGTCAGCAGAAATTGAAAAGTATCGATTGTTAGTAGCTGAATTGAGAAATATGTTGAATCCACCAGCTTATGTTACAATTGTTCAAAGTGTCTTTGGTTCTGTTGGACCAAAAGATAGTGAAGTTCTCAACAGAATGATTGATGAACATGTCACACAACAACATCGTGAATATAAAAAGTGTAAGGTGGGTGACAAAAGTTCATGAAACTTTTTATTTTGACTATATTTCGGCTTCTGAGTAGCTAGAAACCTAATTCTTTCGTCTGAAGAAAGCTAAAACTTTAGGGAAAGTGTGGCTAAAAAATGTTTGAGTTCTCCCGGAAGATGAAGGAGTTATAGAAGATTTAAGGCTAAACGTCTTGCTTAGGTAAGCCGTCAAAATTATGTTCGGAGCAAACAAAGCGATCGGAGCAATCGGAGCAAATGGAGCAATCGTAGAATGTAAAGCGCTCCCCTGTGATGTTTGTATAAGAGAGAAAATATATAAAATCTATCT